AAAGAAAAAGGGACATAGAATCAAATGATGGGTATTCCCCAAGGTTTTCCCTCATGTTTCAGTCATGTTACTAGGTGAAGAAAATAACAACTGCTAGAGAATGACATTTTTTGTTTGTAAAACAACACAGCACAGGGTTCTCAACAAGAGACAGCTGGTGATTTGGAGAGKTCGAGAAGTAAGTTGAAAACTGGAGTTCAGAATTGTAAGTATACATGAAAGGCAATGTAGAAAAACTTAAACAGTTTCTTTTGATTTGAACAATTATCTCCCTGATAAAGTACTAAGAAAAGGTAGTGACAAAATCGATTTTTTTAAGAAAAAAAATCTAATAAATTTAATTAAAGGCAAATTGGACAATAGCTTCATTCCCTACAGTTCAAGGGTTCTGCTGATGTGGCAGTAGGCACTCAAACTTATGTAGGTATAAGATCATTAACACATAAGAGTCTCCTTTGAAAAGAGTTATATCCATGCTCCCAAAAGCATAAAGCATGGGAAACTTGAATATTCATCCTTTTCTTTTTTTTTTTTCTTTTTTTTTTTTTTTTAATGCAAGAATTAAAGAAAGAGGCAAGAAGTACAGTGTGCTTGTTATTCAACTAAGTGAGGTTCTGCCTCAAGGAAGGTCCTTTGAGGACATCTTACTGCTCAGCAGACCTCTGCCTCAGACTAGTAACTCTCATAAGCAAACTCAAAACCTAAAAGCAACGTGGCTGCCTCTCCAGCCAGTGGCTCCATTACGCTCTGTGATGCGACCCAGCCTCTACAAGAAGACAACCTATTGCACAGTGCTCTCTCTAGACCCAATGGCTTGAAAATGCATTAAAACTTGTCAGTTCTATTTCCTGATACTTCCAAACAAAAAATAAAAAACATACATAAAGTATRTATATATGTATGTAGYGTAAAAACGCTACATACAGTTTTCCAAGGCATTATAWTTTTGCAATTTTGTGACACAGGTGCCAGAAATATAAAATTATTAATAAACATTCTGTGGGTCACACAGAGARAAGAGCTGCAGAAAACCTGAAGGAGACAATGAGACAGGGAGGGAGCTCTGGCTATACTGAACATACTAGCTGAAATGGATTCACTTGAAACAATATGCTGTAGGCCAAGACAAATCTAAATCCTCATTAGCTTCTGAAGAGCTTAATTTCAATAAAAAAAAAAAAGAAATAAAAAAAGGCAAAAATATATAGGAGATGGAGGAGTCCCTGAAGATTCAGTTTCTGGCATCCATGAATTAAATGGAAACACACTAAAGCACTTTAGCAGAGATATCAGGCACTTTGCATTGTATTCAGATCCAGTCCGGTCTTTCCAAATGCTGCTTCTGCAAGAATTCCATAACGCTTGTATTATTCTTTCAGTTGACAAGTGTAGCTATGATATGCCTGCACTCAGGTGGTTATTATACGGCTGCTCTTTTTCTTTTTTTAAAAGACCACAGTAATCTGTGGTTAAGAAATTTAAGAAATTCATCTCAGAGAGAAAACTATGTCAGCATAAAGGAAGATTTTTTTTTTCAAATGTGCTGCTAATCCCTACATTACCACTTCTGTTTATTAATAAATTCATCTAAAAATGCATGGTTTGGTTTCCAGAAAAATATAAGCTTCTAACTTGGAGTAAGCTACCTTCAACTATTCAAATATATTCAACTATATCCAAATTCATCAGCTATATCAGGAACAATCTGAACTCTAATTCTGTGCTTACTTACAAATTAAATGAGGTATTCTACCATAGCTCAATAAAATATTTTATTGTAAATTATGGAAAATGTAGGCGTGAATATCTAGTCTCCATTTTCTCTTATATTATCTCTTGGATCCAGATACGACTCCATTATGTCTAGTCATGATTCTTCCTATAAATATCACAGTAATTCTTCTTTTAATGACTTCTATTAATAAACTCAATGTAAGAACTAATAAAAGGCAAAAGGCTTTAATTGAGTTATATTTGATATTTCTCCAACATTCTCTTCTGACTACGGAAAAATGACACATCTTAAACTTGACCTTTATATTTCCACAAAGTCAATGGGTTTTACATTTAAGCTGCTAAAGGTTTGGTATTTGAAGTATGTTTTCAAAAGCAATCCACTTACAATGTAAAAACTTTGTTCCACTCTGGATTGAGGTTCTTGTAAACGGTGTGTGTTTGAAGACTGTCGTTCCCCAGCTCTAACACACAGAAAGGATCACTCTTACCTAGGGAAAATAAACAGTTTGAAATAAGTAAAAACTTAATTAAGTGGATTATTGCAGTTAGCATGCTCTTTTTGTGCACCGTGTTCGTTAAAATGACAGGCCAAATAAGAATATAGAGCAAGAAGGCATTTGGAAAGCGCTTTCTCCTCTCGGAACAACTTGCTAAATAACAACCCCACCAATGCATCTGCAGCTGGAAACTTTACCCRGATAACTTATGTTCCAAATCATTCAGGTAGCTTTGCTCCAAAGCATGAAAACTGAATCTTACTAAACATCTAAATATAAATATATATCAACATATACTTAAGCAAAAGCTATCTTTTTTTTTCTTATCCTTATTTTTGGCTTTATCAATGCAGAGCTCTTAGAGATCTTAYTCTGAGCAATTTATAAACTAAACAGAAACCTTTTCAGTATCTAAATACTGCGTATTAACGAGTCAATATCGGTGAAGTTGGAAATCTGCATGTTGCTAGGATCTGTCTTCTTCTTTTCAGCTTATTTGCCCATTCCCTGATAACTGCGGAAAATGCTTATAGATCTTTAGAGAAACTGCTTGGAATGCAGTACCAGAATTGGTATATGCTAAAAACAATCCCACTGTATAATTTAGTATTCTGAATGCTATTTTTTGGTCAGTGAGCAAATGCAGTGTTTGAGAACTCTCATGCATACACAGAAAACACCCAACAAAGCAGAAAAAGTCATTTTCACATCAACAAAACTATTATCTAGGAATATAAAAGTATAGAAAGCTGATACTGGCATGGCTGTGGCCGAGRACGTTTTATGTACTTGCCAAAAAATATGTCAAATGCTGAAGCATAGACTTTCAAAACCAAAGCAGATACAACGTTGTTTCTTAAAATAGTTTTTTTTTTAAACCACAATTAAAATATCTGAGTAGCAGACTATATTGACAACAGAATTCCCAACTATAAAAAATTATAGATTTGAAGTGAATATATATGATGTGTAATGCCACTTTAGAGTGGCAGGTGAGATGGTCTGCAGATGTGTACCCATCTGAGGATCAAGACTGCTATGGGGCAAACCAGAGCAAGGAGCACTACCTGCTTACACTGCTCTTCTGCTCATCTTCGGAAAAATCTTTCCATCTCCTATTGTCTCCAGGGTTATTCCCTTATCAGATTTTTAGCTGGACTTTGAATTTACTTCTATCAATAACAATAAATCTGTGCAGTTTCCCTGGCAATGCAGGAAATATGGCACTGCTCAAGAAGGGTCCTATTATGGAAGCCCGTAATTGCTGCACTAATCATTTATGAATGGCTCAGAACAGATAATTAATCTTTATGTGTCTCATTTCACGATCAGAAATTATGCTATTTTTACCTAAAATGGCTGCATCCTTTTGCAATTTGGTGRGTCTATTACAGCATAATACTAGGATATTTTCAGAACTGCCATTGAAAAACAATTTGTCATTTGCTTCATGAATCAGGCTCAAAGCCTGGGTTATTTTGAATATAATGACAGACTGAGTAACCTTTTACTTAAGCAGAATTTCATTCTGTGCTATGCACAAGGAATGTGTGTCACATACTCTTTATGAAAAGTCATTGAATTGCAGAATCAAGAACCTGTGTGTCTCTTCCAATGTTCATTACCCACCCACACGTTCCTGTTCAAGTATTGATGGAAAGGGGGCCAAATCCACTGCTGATGCAACTGCATTAGTGTCAGTAAAGTTATCCAGAGGATAAATAACCATCAGTGCTCAGTTCTTTACCCTTAACGCTGCTTGTATTAAAATCTGGTGCATTCCTAGACAGCCCTGCTCTTGCCACTTGCCAAAAGTCCTGGTTTGCAGTAGGAGTATTCATTCTCATTAATTTGTTAGTGAGAGGCAGTTACACTGGTATTGCCATGCCTATGCATACACTGTATCAACTTAGAAATGCAGTTTTGCACAACGTMCTTTTTGTCAGTGGCATCTTAACTTTGTCAAAATTAACTTCTTCAGTTCTTTAAGGTACATCTTGCCACCTAAGTCACTGGCTCACAAAGYACCTGATGGACGGGCTCCTGAGCAATCACCGCTGAGCAGAATATTTTTTTCCCCGTTTTACATATTCTTACAGGAAGATATCAACCACTAGGTTGGTAAAACATCACATTACGTTATGTGTAATGTGGGTCTTCTGAAGACAYAGGCCACAATAAAGCCACGTATGCACAGGATGCTCAACCTTACATCTAGAAATAAAGACCACGGTCTCAAAACACATGCAACCTTTCCAAGCCTCTCACSAGTTCCAGCTACCAGAGTTTCATGAGTCATAAAATAAGTCCCAAGTTTTTCACTGAGTCTCTGTCAGTACAGAGCTCACTGTTTGGCAGAGGAAGGTGCACAGGACTACAGCATCAGGAGTTGGCAGATGGCAGTGTTCAATACACTTTCCTTAGGTATAAATATAAGTAAACTGAAGCTCRATGCACTTCTGACTGCATTTCCTTGCTCTGACTGACCAACGGACTGCATAGWGTGAAAATAACACTCAGAATCAATCATTGCATCATATGTTGGAAAATAAAATACCTGAAAAATCTGCTGCCAACAAGTCAGCTGCCTTTAAAACTTTGACCTGTAGGAATCCAATGTCCTTCATGTCCTGAAAGGAATTCTTCATACACTGTAAGGAGGAAAACGAAGACAGGCATCTAGTTTGCACTTCACTAAGAAGCATATATTAACAAACTACTAAATCACTTGTATTTTACTATTCAATATTCCTGTCTCTACAGCACAGCACTTTAACAATTGTTATCCATAGAAATAGTTCCACTATCCCAATCTCACTCCTCATGTTCATGACGTTCATAATATCACAAGCTACCAGCTGCTATCAAGGACTTTCATTTCATATAAACTACATGTTAATCTGATGGAGGAGACTGGCAGGACCCCAGGACCCCATCAGTTGTTCAAACTCCTCACGCCTCAGCCTCARACACCCCATTTTAGAGGGAGATGCATCTATTTCTTCCTGCCTAACTTTTTAGGATTGATGAGCACAAGTCATCATACRTCTTTATCTTCCAAAAGCTGATCGTCCAGAACATATCTCCCCCAAAGGGGAAACAAAAGCTAATTACTGCTCTCTCTCTGTAACATTCATAATGTCTCATTCCCCATGATAATGCCTTAACACAATTCAGAGTTTTCAAAGGAAAAAAAATAGCTTAAAACTGAACAAATACAAGCAGCCAAATTCCTCGAGTCTGGCTGCCCTGTCAATCTCCTTGTCATTCTCAACATAATAACTCTTGCATGTAATACTTTTCTCAGGTAGGAGACATGTTATTATGACCGGAGAAATCTTCTTTAGCTGCAATTTCGACTACTTTCAAAAATAAAGGAGAGAAAAAAAAGAAATCCAAACTCACGTAGCGCTGTGAAATTTGTTTCCTTTCAGTAGGGTCTCCCAAGGGGCAGACACACAAATCTGAGATGGAGACGCCAGTACATGGGGCGACGGCAACCAACATCAGCAGGGACCCCGGATGCTTTTCCAGCGGCAGCTCTAAGCAGTTGGTCCGCTTGGTTGGTAGGGCAGTAATGTCAACTTTGCACCTAGGACAACATTGCCAAGCATTATTAAGAAACAGACACTGAAAAAAATTTATAAAAGCAGTACTTAACATTGATTTCAATAGCTGTTATGCCCCTAAAGCACCTTGGTGGAGCTGAATCACTTTCTGAAATGTATAATTTGAACTGCTTCAAGACAGAGAATGGAGAAAAAGTGAGCACCCCGAAACTAGACTTGCCAGCTTCCACTGTGCTTGCTGCCAGCTTTGCTTTCTGGTTCACCTACTGGTAAGCACAGAAGAAAAGTTTGGTTGCAAGCTGTCCACTGGGAAGATTTAACTCCAACTTGCCTCCCTTCCTCCCTAAAATCCCACAGTGTTTTGTGATAGATTTTAAACAATTTTATTTCACCTGGGGGAAAAGAAGAGCAAACACAAAACTTAAACATTAGCCTAAAATAGATTAGTTTATCTTTAAAGTCCCACACTCCATTTTCTGCTACATTATACTGTATGCCCCAATCTCCTTTACAAGCCTTACTAGAGCGAGGTCTTCAGTGTACTGTTATATTTCCCAAAGGAAAGGGCTGCCTTAAAACTCCCTCTCCCCCAGCTCATAACATGTATTGTTAATTTGATATTCCAAAAAGAGAAAAAGAGCAAAAAGACACATTAATGAAGGGATAATAATAAAAGATAAGGATGGGCTAAAGCAAAAAGGGAGTTCACCAGGCAGCCAGTTATATGTGAAGCGAGTGGTTAAACACAACAGAAAGTCTAATCACTTAGCTCAGCTAAATGCCTTCTATTTAGAAGTCCAGTAAATGGAGTGGAACTGCTCTGAGCCTCTGTGGGGTTTTGCTTTTGAAAACAGGCTGAACAAAAGTTACAGATGAAAAAAAAAAGAAGAAAAAAATGAGGAAGGAGAAGCGCTATTGGCATGGCATAAGGGGAGCGGCGGTTCTCCAAGGGACAGCGGGCGGATGACGGGGCGAGCGCGCGTTGGCTCCGCTTAATGCCTGCCGACAAGTTTTTATTTAAACTGAACTTGTTAAGGTGTTGTCTTAATAGGCTGAAATTCCACAGGGTTCCCCCAGGTGGGTTTCTTCTGGGTAAATGGTGCATGTAGTGCTCCTGATTGATCCCATTCCAGTAGTAGAGCTGGAGCAGTTTATACCCATCTGCTATAAATTGCACGCTTTCCGCTTCTTAACAGCCTATTTTCCGTGAATGTGAAGGGAGGGAGAGGGGAGGGGGGAACCTTCCCAAAACATCTCAGCCTGAAAACCCCCCCAAGCTCTGTTATGAACTAAAAGTCACTGCTCCGATGAGGCTGCAAGTCACCCGCTAGGACCGTGCATTAAAACGTGGCTCTTTGGACCAGAGCCTCCTGCCCAGCACCAACAGCAACGACTTGGCTGCAAGCAGCTCTCTGCCATCCCCTGTGCTCAACACACAACAGGTTGCACGTTGGCTTCCATCAACCACACTCAGGTGCTTGGAAAGAGAATGAAAATAAAGCACGGAGAGCACCCAAAGCACTCGGTGCGCAGGCTGCCTCTCAGTTTGCAAGCACGAGAGGTTGTGTTTAAAGCTCCCTACTACACCTGTGCTCTCCAGAGAGAGATGACAAGAAAAGATGGGACAAAAAGGAAACAAGCAAAAAAAAAAAAAAAAAAAAAAAAAAAAAACTTTGAGAAAGACCTTATCACTTTCCCTAGGGATCAATAGCACCCTRTCTCTACTAATACATTCACATCTCAGTCTGCAGCAACAGTTTTGCTGATAACTTTAGGCATCAAGACAAAATAGGAAAGTTTTATTTCAGCTTTCCCCCCCTCCTCCTTTTTTTTTTCCCTCCTTTTTTTTCCTTTTTAATACAGATGAACAAACTGAAGCAGAGGGAAGGGAAAACTCAGGGTCACCCAGCTGCTCTGTGGTTTGGCTGGCAACAGAGGCCAGGTCTCCCACATCAGCATTTCATCCACCACCCACTCAGCACAGTGAAAAACYTGGGAAAAGCTAAACTAATTGTAGCCACATTCAGTTTTCCATATTTTCATAACTTTACGGGGGGGGGAAAGAAAGAGAAAAGACAACACTTTCCAATAGAGGAGGACCCTACCAAAATTGAAGCTCATCAGAAATCTCTTATGCCCACAAAGCAAAGTTAAATGTAATTCCAGTTTATTCTGGCAAACTGGAATTGTTACATTTATTCAAAGAATTTGAATAGCTAAAGGTCAAAGAAAAGAGTGAAGGGTGTGGGAGGGATGCACACGTGGAAGRAAAAACAGCAGGAGATGGAATGCAAGCATTTCTTCCTCAAATCATGTCCCACTTCCACACAAAGTAACTTTCTCAGAACATCTGTGTTCACTCAAGGTGACGGTGCCTCTATTTTCTTTTGGGAAACTGAAAAGAAAAATCCATGTTTGCAATCACAAACGACAAAAAGCTTAAGAAAAAAAAATGTTTCAGTTAGATTTTACACAGTGATTGATCAGACTACAAAGAACGTGTTTTAGTAAAATAATTCTACATTACATTTACTTTATATATTTAGTAGTTTCCACAAAAGCTCTTCTAGACTATTAATAATAGTCTCTTGACTTCTAAACTGCTTCCCAATCCTTCCTAAATAGAAACTTTTCCTTTCTTTCTATCTGCAAGACCTTATTACTGACACTTGCTTTACAGAAAAGCGGTAAGATACTAAGGTGATAGACACAGTTTAAACAGAGAGGCAATCCACCTTTTCTGCTGCAAAGTGCCAACCTCGGGGGTTATTTATATCTGCAGTGATGCAAATGACCCCCTGAGCTAAAGTCTCTACATACTCATCTATCTCCAGATAGGAAATCTCAGCTTGTTGCTTGTTGCCATCTCCCTCTAAACCGCAAATTTAATTCAGGTACAAACTTTCACACAGTATGCATTAGACATATGGCTGTATAGATGATCTATAGGAGGAGGCAGGTCTATAAGTTAGGCCTATGCTATGCACACACTGCAGCACCCTCTTTATCAAAATTAATTGCTTTCCTTCCCCCTGTTGATCAATGCAGAGGTCTGCACCTCCAYGTTGACCCCCAGTCCTGTAAAGGATTTTGCTGTAGTTTTAGTTTTCATTTAAAATTACGCTTTTGATTTAGTTGCAGCTCACCTATTTATCYGATAAGCAAATTTTAAACACTTTTTAATTCATTCTGCAAAGATGCATTCTTTGAATTCAGGGCAGAATAAAGGGGAGGGGTAAATTTGTTTAACTTTATCAGGGAATCAGATGTTAAATTTGACTAAAACGTGTTGAGCTTAACCTCTTACTGCTTATCATGGAAAAACATTTTAAAACAAAAGCCACAGTTTGTCAAATTATTCCGAGTAAATCTGATGTTTTTCATATGTTTCTCATATATATATCTATGACTATATATATATATATATATACACATATATATTTACCCACAAACAAAATTGCAGCTATCACTGCCAAGCTTTACTCTGCAGAATTCCTGAAAGCCTTTAATTAGAAGGTTAAGATCATTATCAATATATATAATATGTGTCTACAATATTTGGAAAGAGATTTCAAATGCCACAAGTGTCAAGGAAATCATATGTACTGATCTAATCCAACTTATTCTACAGATAAATTTTGATTATCTGATTCTTCCTACAGTACAGTGGAATCTAACCAAAAGGTATGGAACCAGCACAGTAGATTTTMCTGTTTAATCCCAACAGTGGGTCCTTTAAAACAGGACCATTCCTTGTTGCAAAGGCACCATTTCCCAGGGGCATTCCTCAAAGTTATCTTATGCACTCCCACCTTAGAGCACATGCTCTTAAGTCTAGAATTTTTGCAAAATGTAGTTCTGGAGCTAAACTTGTCAATGAAAAAAAGCCCCAACATTTTACAATGTCACTTTCAAATCATACCCCATAACACAAAAACAGGCTCTAACAATATGGTATAAACAATTTAACTCAGGCTGGACAAATCCTGCAAACATTAACACCTTTGTTTATTAACATACATTAACATCATCTCCTGATTATGGCAGTTCTCTTCTCCCAAAGGCCACTAAAAGCATTCAATAAATGTTACTAATGTTTTTACACAGACTAAATGGAAAAATGATTTTATCCTGCAACAAAATACAGGCACCCCTCAGTGTCAGAATCTGGGAGCTGAACTACTCAATGCTTCAGTATATTAAGGAAGAGAAATTGGATCCAGCTGAAAATATAAGGAGCGCAAAGGCAGGATGAGTGYAGTAATTCAGCTGGCAGTGTGCACTGACAACGAGTGTTCATCTCCTGATAGCAGAAGGGTGACATTAAATTGCATTGAATGCTTGTTCACCTATTCAGAAGTACAAAGACGTGCCAGGTGTTAGTCTTTAGTACTGCAGGTCTGATACATTTCTTAGTCTACACATTTGATACTCTTCACATAAGCTTTGGGTCCTATTTCAAGAGTAATATTCTACCTTAAAACCTAATTATTCCCAGGAGAAGGGACATTATCCCAACACTTAAGCCACCATATACTTGAAATCCTGGATCTAAAGGAATCAACAGTTTCTATTCCATTGTTGTTTCATGGTACAAATCAGACATGACTCCCTCTTGTGCGCTTTTGCTAAGTGGTATTTTTTTCTGTTTTAAGATCTAATAAACAGTTCAACCTACACATCCCCGAAAGAACAGGACAAATTCTATTCTCTCTACTTATTAACCACAGAATTAAGGTTCTGTGCTAGTGCCTTTTGCCTTTACTTAAAGCTGTGCAAATTACATGAAGGCAGGTGGGGTACATCAACCACAAACATCTGCCCAGTCCTTCTTATAGTGATGCTGCAAAATCTAGAAATACCAAAACTTGACTTGGAAAATAGAGACAACACATACTTCCCCCTCACACCCCAAATCGTGTTGCAGATCAGATGGCATGTGAACCATTCATAAAAAAATATTCACTGGGAGTCAAGTGTTTCTACACTACACAAACAAGGCTATTTACTAGGTATCTAGCATTTATCTGTTCTTGCATTCTTGGAGTTTACCTGTTCTCTACAATCTACTGTGCTTGAGGATACAATAACAATGTTTTCCCTCCATATAGACAGCAAAAACAACTGTAAGTTAAATCTTATACTCAGGCTTCCCCAGTGCTGAAATCTTTAGCAATACCACTGTTTATAGAATACGCCTTTTTTGCTGATAATTTTTTATTATACTCAACACCACCTGCCAAAATCAGTAGAAAGAAAGAGGAGAGGGAGGAAAAAAAAAAAAAAAAAAAAAAGGAAGAAATCCTATAAGCATCAGGGAAGCCAAAGACAAGTGGTAAATGGTGCTACATTTCTCAACTGTAAATATAAAATATCAGAAGTAATAAAAGGAACTGCAAGAATGGAAGGAACGGATTCATCACCAACCACTTCTCCCTGCAATGAGCAACAGCGCTCAGCCAGAAAGCATTTCCTGCACTGCGAAACCACAAACATTTGTGGAGCCAAAGGGCATTGTTCTTCTCAGGGAACAGTTTTGAACTATTTGAATGCTTAAAGTAATAGAATGTCCTTATTACTGCTGTTTAGCCTGCAAGCTGTGAAAAGCTGGCTAGGTGAGAACACAAACAAATGGAGACAGGATCCCTGACCGGACAAATTCGGAGTTGGTGGCACTGATCCTACAAGCGGATAAGCCCCAAGCACGGTTCCAGTAAATCAAACCGTTGTCTGTGTGCTGCAGGCATCCAACTGTGGGGATGCAGTTCAGGAAGAGGGTCTGGGTGACGATGCAACAAGTCAAAGAGGGTGGAGGCACCAGGAAGGATAATAAACTCTATTCTCAGTCATAAATGAAAAGTTCAATTGCTAACTCAAAAAATAAATCTCATCTTCTAGCATRGCATAAGTCATTACTTGAGAATTTGAAGTTAGAAAGAAATAAGGTAATTGGGCAAAAGCCAGAATCAGTCAGGAGATGGGAAAGATCACCTGGAAAGTCGCCCAAACAGTGATGCCTTAAGCAGGATGAGATTGTGCAACGGTGCGTGGAGGTCACCTCCCTGGGGCAAGGGGAAGAGCTYGCACAAACAAGGCAAACCCAAGTAACAGGACCCATGTGTAAACAAGGCAAAACAACAGCACACCACAAAGGTGCACACAGGGAAAAGGCATGCCCCTGCCACGCTCAAAAGCAGCACAAAGATCCCTGAGTTAGTGCCAATCTACCCAGCAAATCTGTCCCACCCTGGAATCAGTATTATTATGTAAATACAGAAAATAGTGTTTCCTTACTGTCACCAGATCCCACTCAACCAGCTGAGAGTGAGCTCCCTTCGAATTTGGATTTTACAGTGAGCATGTGCAGTCAGCTCAGGTGTCTCTGCATTCAGGTCACACTTAATCAATTGCCCAGTAATAGGTTTTTAATAAACACACCCTTACAGAGGCACCTGGACACGACTGCAATAATGAGAAAAATGCAGTATGATGCTAAACAATGAAAGTAATTTGATCAATCACAAAAAGAATTACATTATCTTTTAACATTCTCCACCAAAAAACACTTACGTTCCCAAGAGCTCTTCATGCTTTTTGTTATCCTTTCTCCAGACCTCAATGTCCAACATATCCTTCCTGTCAGAGAAGTAGTGAAAATCAAACTGTTCCCTCCACTGAGGATTTGCACTCTTACACAGTGTCTAGAAAACATGCAGTTATAATATTTACTTTTCTTAAATGGCACTTATTTCCACAGTAAAGCACATATCAATTCCACAAGAACAAGGCCACATGTTAGGACACCAGTACTAAGAAGGTCATTCTGGTCAAAGCCCCTCACACAGATCCCCATGTTTTTAAAAGCTTCCTTTCCTCTTTCCCAGTAATGATAAGTATGAAATGCTTGAACGCAAGGTGGAACCAACATCTCCACTTTCAATGGATCACGCTGCTCATTCAACACCACAGACACTAGAAGAAATCAAGAATAAAGCTTTTGACAAGGACCTTAAAACAGATTGGAACAAATTCTGGGAACCCAAACTAGTATTTTCACTCTTCTGCATTAAGACACAGGCAACAAAGGAGCAGCCTTGAAGATATTAACATCCAATTAATTTGATATCTGTAAATTGTTCCCCTTTCAGTGAGATTGTTCATGTGTAGAGGTTACTCCAAGTGTAAATATTCACTGGATTAGAAGTTAAATCATTTGCACTTCATAACACACTACACTAACCATCCTCAATATCAGCATGACCACTGAGAGAAACAGGAGATAGAACTAGCTGGACCATGACTGAGATTTCCCCCATCCTGTCTGCTCCTCTGCACCATGATATTGTACTTCATAAGGTAAATAAGCTCCAGGAAATAACATGACGTGCTGCTAATTTGAACGCTTTCTGCTGTGTTAAAGCAGTTGGTCCCCAACTTCTGTTGGGCCCTGGACAGAAATACTAAGCAGTTAGCCCACTGCAGGCAACATCATAGCTGACTCCCTCCTTTAAACTTTTTAATTTTCTGTGATTGCAAACAATAATGCAGAGTCTTGCATTAGGACCATGAAGAGAAACATAAAAAGAGATCTTGAATGATGGATATTTATTCTAAAATAACTAATCTGTGTATAGTTCTACTCAACTTGGTAATAGTAGTAGAAGAAATATCAAGCACCTTATTAGCTTTAGTAAACTTGAGGAAATGTTAGTACTTACTTTACTTTTATATCTTTGATCACCCAGTTTTAGCAAAATAAAAACCTCCGCCAAGCCGCCTCCCGGGATGTTCTTCCCTTCTAGCAGCGTGATGGTGACAAGTCCGTTCCACAGTTGGTTCTTGCGTAAAGAATCAGAGAGTCGGACGCTCCGTGTAAGACTTGACTGAAAAACAAAGCAGGGATGTGAAACGCTCGTACACACAAACCCACCTGTTCATACTTACACTGTCTGTATCAGGAAATCACCAAGACGGAAATTATCAGGACCTATTGTCACCATATCAAGCATGGTGACCCCCTAGCAGTAAACCAGGAACCAAAGGCAGAAAGATGCCACCAATTTTCTGTCCATTCTACTCTACAGTTATCTCTGATTAGGAGATCAAAGCAAGCAGGATCCATCAAAACCATCAGAAAAGGCAACTCGGCCAACCTGGTTGAACTTGAGTAAGAGCAAATACAGAACTTCTAGGGAACCCTGTTACCTCAGCTCAGGGGAACATGCAGGAATACACAGGAGAGGGAGAGATGGAGGACAAGAGAAAGAGAAATAAACGCTTAGATGTCTCCAGCTACATCCATAAAACTGGAGCCTGTCCTTTCCTGCAAGACAGCAGCAAGTCTATGGATAGGGTAAGAGCTGAACATGCATCTTCCACATGCTTGGTCCCTCAACCATCCGTCCTCAGCACGAGCTTTTGCCTGCAAGCCTCCGAGTGCCTCTTCCCAGAAAGAGAGCTCACGAATCTAAAATACTGGCACCTGCTGAAAAACGATGACACGACTGCRCTCTTTACCTGGAATTATGGAGAGCTGGTAGCCCCATTTGTTACCTCACCATCTCATCGTACCTAACACRCTCGCACTAACAGTTTGCTAACTGGCAATATTTTATTGGACAGGGGATGATTAAATGGGCCTTTATTTGGGGGGAGTAAGAGTGAGAGCTGGAAGCATTAAAACTCAAGGCTATGCTTTTCTTCTCACAGTAAAAATCCTGCCATATTTTACTCCTGAGATACAACTTTTAACTCACCACAGTTCTGCACTTCAATCATGTCATATACAGGTGGGAGCAAGACGGAGGAGAAGATTTCACAAGTCACTTTAAAACAGGATGTGTTAGCTTTAAAAGCAAGGAAGAAATGTTGTTGCTAAATAAAACGATTGCAGAAGCACCTGATGTCTGAGGATTACTTTTTATGGATCAATTACCCAGCAACAAAATTCTTAAATCATGGGTGGTGAACTCACAAATTTTTYACTCGCTTTTTACTGGTTAAAATACTCAACTCCTTGAATGCCACGAGCATATTAATATACTCCGATTTAAACACCTTGTTTGGCTTTCCTGGCACCTTGGTTAAAAATTCCTACCTTTAAAAAGAAAATGAGATTTTGATTCATAAATCCAGCTGCAATGTAACTTTTCTTTCTTTCTTTTTTTTTTTTTTTTTTTTAAAGTTCGTCTTTTAGGCCAAAAAGCTAAAGCATGACTGTTCCCATGGACATACTTCAAAGTCCCGGCAGATATATTCCTCCCTAAACACTGCAACTATTTCAAAATCCTTTTTATAAAAAAGGGAGTAATGTCCATGAGGGATCAAAGGGCATTCTGCAGTCTGGCAATCGCCTTAGAAAAATGGCAGTGCTTCCATGAAATATGCCCTAAAATAATTTTGCAGCTTGGTATGTCCTAATTTCAAATTGGATGTTTATCTTGGAAAGGCTTCTATCTAACTTGTCCATAAAACAGCTCCACTTAGCTCTATGAGCCCTGTGAAAATGGAATCCAAATCTGGCTATTAAAGGGGCCTAGAGATTGCTTCCATATGGCATAACAGCATGGGAGTGGAGGGCTAAGGCCTACAGCAGGCGCTGCTTGGCTTGAGCTCCCAATCTATCCATGGACACTCGTTGCATTACACCATAACATCTGGATTATTGCTTGTAATGTCCCTGGGAAATATCCACTTCCCATCAAAGCCTTTATCTATCTCCGTTGTACTTTGAACGTTTTAGTATTTAACATAGTCGTGTTTGATGTGATGTACTCGCTGCTTTAGGACCAAGGATTTCTCCTTTCCCCCACTCCGCTTCCTTGGAGGAGGAAGAAATATTTGAAGTTAGCTCACAAAAAAAAAAGTCAACGTTTATTATTCACATTACAATTTCTTTTAAAAACAAAACATCCAGTTCACTTCAAAGCTCCCAGGCTGAACAGGAAAAACAGTGTTATCACTTGGTTTTCAAAACAAACGTGGATTCTTTTCACATTTTTAGCAGTTCGGTATTTCAGGGAGTCGCTCAGCGTTGGGGGTCCCTTCCTACCCGAATTCTTTCGGAGACGCAAGCCCTGCCCTCCAGCCACAAAGCATCTTCCCTGGCACTTTGAAAGGGTGTTGGGAGGTGGCCAAACTCCATCCAGCGAAAATCAAGAGCCTGCAGCCCTGCGTTATTAGACCACGTCGCRATGTGACAGCTCTGGCCTCCCCAAAACAGGTGGTCCTGAGCACACAGCCTTGCATGCCCCTCTCCGGATGGCCACGCGGCTGGAGAAGCTCCCTGTGCTGGGGCCATGCACATATCTCAGAGGAAAGGTTTATAGGCTCCAGCAGACATCTCTGCTACCAGGACCTCGCTCCTTTCTGGTCCAGACCTGGCATTGCTTTAGAGCATCACACAGCATAGAGAAACCAAGACATCTGCAACCAATCCAAGATGTAACACTCACGTGCAGCATCCCAACGCAGGCCTGCATGCAGTCTGCTTCCTGCCCCTGCCAATCCTGTCTCCTCTGCAAACGGTTCTCCAAAAAAGCAGGAGGGAGCTGGGCAAGGCTGCAGCCCTCCGAGACTGCCCATCACGTCTGGACAGCTTTGGGTCTCCTGGACATGCCTAGGTCACTTGCACAGCACGTGCTCGACAGGGCTGATGTGTCTCTTGTGCCTCATATCATCTGCGTACATGCTATAGGATTGATCTTTACAAGCTCTGTGGCCATTTCTCCTGCCTTCCCGTGTAGCTGGCAGGCAATTCCTCTGGCCACCCTGATGGAAAACCCAGTCAAGCAGCCAGGGTCTCATATTCTACTCGGTTTCTGCAAGGAAGCATGTCTGGGGAACCCAGATGTGTGGTAGGACTACCTACGTACCGAGCCCATCAATGAGTCAACTTAAGTGTTGCCTGGGGAAGTCTGCACGACAGAAAATCTCTCCCAGGTGAAAAGAAGTTGATATTGCATTATTTATCTTAAGTCTTTTAACTCCTCTCTGGTAGCCTGCATCTACTTATTCCAAGCTGATTTACACCGAGATAATTGATTAAGCTTCACAGCCTCCCTCTGAGTTTACACAACTATTATAGAACAGCACAGAGAAATTCAGTGATTAGCCCAACACTACAGAGTTAGTGAGTGGTAAAAAACGCACCAAAAAAACCCACTTTCTCCCCCTTCAGCAGTTACTTCACTAACTTCCTTTCACTGTGAGACAACGGAAAGGTCAAAGCTGCTCACTAAGCTGGCCAGAAAAGAACATCACTGCCTCATGAGTGATGATTTTAAAATGTGAGGGTTTTTTTCTTTTTTTTTTTTATTTTTTTCTTCTCAAATCTATTCATCTCTTTCCTTTTCCCTCCCAAGCTACAAGAAGGTCTTCTCACTTCAGCTCCTCCTGTCACTGAACCCTAGCTCCTTTCCAGCTGTGTTCCCAAACTAGATGTCAGGATCTTCAGGCTTCTTTTTCCCTCCCAATGTTCTCTCCCTGGAGCTAGTCAGCTCTCTCTCTGGCTAGGTCCCAGACCAAAGTAAAAGTGCTTTGCAAACGCTTTAAAAAAGCTGGCAGAGGCTATAGGATCAGGCTATAGGGCTTTCAATTAGGAAGCATAGGCCTTATTATGGAAGTTGGAACACATTCTGAGCACAGGCGGTTTCAACACACCAAACCTCTTTCTTCCTCCCTATCACTTCTTGATCTTGAGGACAGTCCAGAGATCAGAAACGAGGGACAGTCTCCAGATAGAGCTCTGATTTCTRCCAGGCTCTGCACGCGCTTAAGCGTTTCCACATATGCATCTGGCTTGGGTGTTAGCTTGCAAATATACTGGGATACCTTAACGGTACAAGCAGCTCAACTGTGTAAAATGGATAGCGTGAATAAAAAACAGCCTTTGTGCAAGTCRGAAGGAATGAAAAGATTAAAGAGCATAAAAACATTCGAAAAAATGGGGAAAAAAATCAACTATATTTCTTAAAGCCCAAAGAGCCTTGGTTCACGGCAGGTTTAGGGATCGCACAGTATCAGGCAAGAAGACACGAGAAACCTCTGACCCGAAAGAAGAGCCCAGTCACGGAGTGGGATCCTGTCACACACAGCACAGAGGGTGGTGGTTCCACCTCCCGCTTGGAAAGAACATTTCCCAAGAGAGTATCCCAAATCTCTGAATGGGAAATAAATAAATTAGTGCTGTATCATTTTCAGAATCTAGTTTCTGGCTTCTAAGTGAGCGCTAATGCCTCTCACATCCATTTTAACTTTTGGTGACTTTCTGGTTCTTCTTTAAAGAAGAAAGGTGGACAGTAAGGAGCAGGTGGTTCACATTCTGCCTTCCCTGGCAAACGTGCGATGCGGGAGATGAGCAGGAATGCCTGAGCTTTGGAGAGGAAAGAACAGGCTCGCTGACCCGGGTTCACAAAATCCCTTAGGAGCTCAAGTTTCCCTGCTAACACCATTTGGACATAATCTCCCTGTACGGGCACCTAGCAAATCCCCTCTGGTGCATCAGGGACCGCTTTCAAACCCATCTATTTCCCCGGACACGCACATAACATGCCCCAAGTTCAAACTTGTTTTTGGAGCAATAAAAAGATGCAGCAAAACATCGAACATTYAAATGACACAGCGAGGTGGCCAAGTGTGAAGCGAGCCCATGTCTCACAGCTTCCGCTTAAAAGGATGAGACAGGACGGCAGAAAGTCCGCTCCGATCCCCACGCACGGGTCAAAGGAGAAACCGGGCTGCGTAATTTGTCATCTGCAAGAACAACACCAGGCAAAGAGCTCTCCTCGTTAGGCGGCTTGGCCGAGGCAGGATCTCCCCGGGGAGAGAGGAGAGGGCAGCGGGGAAGGCAAGCGAGGCGGCCCGGCCCCGTGGCGAGCGGTCAGAGATCACGGCTGCCCAAAGGGCACTGCCAAGCACAGCGAGGCAGGCGGGAGTGAAGCCTAAGAGCGCACGCCGACGTGGGGCTTTCTCCGAGCACTTGGGTCTCCYGTCAGCCTTTCAGCCAATTTATTCAATCAGTTCCGGCTATCAAGGTGGCAATTGCATCGCTTTTGTTTTAGGGCTAAACTGCTGCAGGTCAATGCACCCCAAGCGAACCTGCTTATTTGCTTCGCCGATGCTCAACACTTAAAGGTTATTCGGCTGTGCAAACGCTGGAAACGGCGCGCGGGTGCCGAGCATGCCACTCAAGCCACCCGGGACAAACAAGGCTGCTGAGCATCAGTGCTCTGCGGTGGGGCAGCCCGACGTCCTCCTGGCCCAGAGAGCCCAGGAAAGGGGGGRAAAAAAAGGGAGAGACCTTGCAAATACAGGGTGCAAGGATTATTACTGCCAAATAGCACCCTCTTCCTTTTGCATTGGCGCTCGCCATGGGAAAGGGGAGCAAGCCGTGCGCAGCAGGCAGCTCCCACGGAGCACAGGGCTGCTCCTGTGAAAAACAGAGGATCCGAATGTGCTGCCCACAGCCTTGTGCTTCTGCCCAAATACACAGGATCTCCTCCAAGCAGGAGGGAAGGATATATACTGCTTAACCAAGAGATAGCTAAATCACCTGGTTCTATGACTCTTGCAACAAACTGATTTAAAAGACAATATTCTCTTGCTGATATCCTTCTTGCAAGCTATTTGTAAGGCCCATGAGACAACAGCAGCGAGCCAAGATGATCYTGAACTGCTCTCATTGTCACTGCTGTCCAAAAGGCAGGGATTTTAGAGAATGCACATGGAAAGTGTGTTCCCACACAGGATTGCATCAGGCAGCAATACCATCCACACAGGTGCTAACCACTCTGGGTGAATTTGGGAACCCAGCAAGAATCAAGTGAATAACACAACAAGACTCGTTTAAAGCATGGGACGTATTCCTAATCTGCCCACTGAACAAAGATAAGGCTAAACTCATCACGTCAGTGTATAACCAGATTTCTTTTATAGAACCAAGGAATGAAGGGGAAAAAAAGGTTGGGAAAAACTGCATTTTGTCTATCCTTATTTTCATCTAAATTTGTGTTACAAATTAAACATTACAGTATCAGCTATTGTTTGGTGCAAAAAGCAAGAAATCCATTTCTAATAGAAAGCTTACTGGCCTAAACACACAGAGATGAAATTTACATCTGTTCCGTGAATTTCATGGATATGTTGGGAATTCTTAGAGGGGAAGTATAAGGTCTTTTTCTCCTGCAGCAACCAACCAGAGTCAGTTCAGTAGCCAAAATGGAGCAGAATTTGTGTTGTCATTACAGAGCTCTCCACAATCCCCCTGCCCCCCCTACTCTCATATCTTTATCTCGTCCAGCAACATTGTTTTCTACCCCATCCTACTCTCTGGCCATTCTTCCATAACCTCTTGTGCCTTCCCTAGACACCTATATTCCCCACRCACACAATTCTTCCTTCTAGCCTTTATGTTCTGCCACAAACTGCTAGTACTGCTTCCACAAACCAGGGTTTCCTAACTAAAGGTGGTTATTGATGTACAGTACTAGTGTTTTAGTGCAGCAGCAGAATCAATAAACTAGGAAATACTGCTTTGTCAGATTTTTCCAGAGGATGTCGGGAAATATTTTTACTGCCTTTGGATGGTCACAGAGCTTTTCTTTAGAGATCACGCTGGAGCATGAACTGTATCTTTCCTAGGAACAACTGAAGCTCTCCTACCCTCTAGTGACTGTTGCAGAACAGAGCACAGGGTTGTAGCTTGTATTTTTTTCCTCCACTTTTAGATAATACGCTCACTYTGGCTAACTCAGCCCCACACTTTAGCATTTTTTTGTTTTATTTGGAAAGATCTGAAGACATTAGCTGTTGAACTGAACAGCCTGCTAAAGACTGGAAAAAATAATCAGTATTTTTTCTAAAAAAATGCAATGTACAACAACAAAACAGAGGGAAAAAGGAAAGGATAAGAGAAAAAAAAAAGGAACAAAAAAGAGAAGGAAAAAAAAATATCCGACAATCCGACAACTACCACCAAGACAGAAGTGTGGCTAATCTGAGCAAAAAGAACCAGAGTTTAGATACTCGGCTCTGCTTCCGAACCAGTGTCGAGGCACAGCTATGTGTGCATGCATGAGGAGAACGGGGGATCCAGGCTACATTGATTGTGAGAGGGCACCCACACTTTCTAGAGTTTTAATTAAAAACTCTAGTGCTGAGCTCTTCAATTTCTCCAGCACTGTGTGTCACTGGGTGTTTAGGGATCCCCGATTGAGAACAGGGATCAGGAGAGTCAGACTCATCCCTAGCACCTACAATAGGCCACAATCTTGGTATCCTCAACCCACCCAACTCCTTCACAGCTCTTTTTCTTCAATTTATACCCAGTTTTCCGCAGTGCCAAGTTTTTCTACAATTCTTTGCAGAACGGAGTCTTATTCTTACTTGCTACCACGGAATATACAACAAGTCATAACTTCCCACTCTTTTGAAGAATTTAAGCAACAGTGGAAATTCCAGCCATCCCATTTTGACAGCTGGCATCCATATCTCAATTTTTTTCATATTTCTACATTTTCAGAAAAGTGCTGATGGATTTTGGAAGGGTACTTAAAAAAAAAAGTATATTTTACCTTGGATGAATTTCGCTTCTTCCTATTTGACCATCTCTATTCATGAGTCCCCACCATTGAACCAAGGAGAACCCAGCGAAAGGGAACAGAAAGAGTAAAACGGATAAAGTGGTTAATAAAATCACTCAAACAGCAGCTCATTAAATACATTAGAAGAACTTATTACTTCATAGAGGGTTTGGTCTACTAATGCATTCATCTCCCTCCCAGAATAACAAACTCAAAATACCTGCATTGCACCAAAAATAAGGAGGAGGAGGAAACAAGGACTGAAAAGTGGAGGGACCCAGAGCCATTAGTAAGAACCGTGACACATACTTTTGCTGCCATCTGGTTCTACACTAAGCTAATTTAAAAAGAGGTGGTAACAGAGGGGGATCATCTTGCTGTTAAGTGCTMATGTGGACAGAGCCATTTCACTGTTCTGATTCCACTGGAAATGGCTGAGCAATTTGCATTTGAAATATGAGGGCTTAAAACATAGTCTTAAAAAAAAACTACAGCGTGCACCAACTTTTCTATCTTCTGCGCTCTGAATGCTAAGCAAGCACCCAGGAGTCCCGAAAGCTGCTGCTTTAAACCAGCCCAYTTTCTGCCTCCTGAGCTGGGTCCACCTTACCCCATGTCCTCCTACAAATCCCAGAAGAAGAATTTCTCACATTCTTGCAGCTGAACAGCTTCCCCTTGCATCTCTTCTGGCAACCTACTGGCACATGTGCTAACAGCACTTTGCCTCGGATAAGTTAGCAGGGCAATTCTCACACAATATACACTCACACATAAACCTATATAAAATACAGTGTTTTGAATGATGTCATTAAGCTTTTAAATAATCTTATAGAGAGGTAGAGATAACTTTACAACTATCTTAATGGGTGACTTTACAATTCTCAAAAACAAGCAACAAGTAGGCAAATAAATACTGAATGACATGAACTTGAACATACTCACAGGAACTTTTACTGTTTTGCCTCCCAAACCCTTGAAAACTTTATGCTTTTATAAATAACTCCTTTCAGACTGCTTTTATAAATAACTCCTTTTATAAATAACTCCAATTCCATACACCTATATTTCAAAAATATGCTGTAAACAGCAACTTTCTTAATAGACTATATAAAACACTTTTAGAAAAAAAATGGATTTACATGTTTATTTGTACCTAGAATTAGAGAGGCTTGAAAACTGGAGCTAAGCAAATGCCACGTCTTGGCCTTTCCCTGCTCCTGGCAAATCTGCTCCCTGGTCAATGGCAGGACAAATTGACCAATGTAAACATATAATATACTTTTCATATAGCTTCATTTTTCTCCTTATGTGAAAAAAGAAAAAGAAAGAAAGAAAAAAATATATTTTTCCTAAGCTGCTAAAGCCTAAACTCCYAGGTGTTAATCAGTAAATATGTTCTCCTACACATAAGAATAGCAATCCTACAAGGTGCAGTTCATTCATTCACCTGCACATTTTAGCAGCAGATAACACACATAGACAATATCTGGACAGTGCTGCCACAGGATGCTTCAGGACTACAGGACAGAAGCATTCAGCTACAGATGCCTAAGCAACTTCYACACAGTTAAACGTGTTTTTTGATTGTTTTTTAAGTTATGATCTATCCAGATTTCCAGTTTTCAATATAGAGTCTCAGAGGATGAAAATAACAGCAGCATTTCCCAGTGAACCAGATTAGGCCAGTTTTATTTTCTAAGTTACTTACATTTCTCTTGGAGTTGCCCTGTTTGACTGCTAAACTCAAGTTTAATACAATCACTCCCATGTCATCTTCCAAACTGTTTGGATCTTCCAGTTTTAAGATCTGTTCAGTAGTTCTTAAAAAAAAAGAAAAAAAAAGAAAAAAAGTGCAGTTCCTTTTTAAAACATTGAAGAGTGCAAATTTCAGATCTTGTCTGAAGTTCCCTATATCAAATTTAATATCGTGCATGTACAGAATTTGTCTCAAACAATTTCAGGGGGACCCTTATCCTTCTCTCAGAAGTTTTGCAGACAGACAAGCTCACAYGTATAGACAACTTCCATACAACAGCAAAAACTTTAAATTATTTTACTATGTTTCTTAAACTGCACTACACCAAGCTTTAATGGGAAGAAGGTATTACCTATTGAGTTCAAGCTCAGTGAGTGCTATAAATGCTGATCCCATGAAGTCAGAAGAGGTTAAATCTCGATCATACACCTGGTGGCAAAACAGAATAAATATTTGTAACTGTCACATTCTGAGCTACTTTTGTTCTGTCCAGTACAAGAACATACATTTTGTGCACATCCAGTTCAATTCTGTACTTGAAAGACCAAAGCTCAGATATAATTCACGGGTAATTTTCCATCTCCCTGCTTTAATTTGTKTTTTTAGCTAAATATTTAAACAGCATTTTGGAAGTATCTTCTTGGTAGAACATAAACAGCCATGTGTGCTGCTATGGACTGTGCCGATGCCTTTATATTCTGCATGATAGCAGAATGAAATGCTGCACAAAATCAGATACCTCTTGCTACAGATGTTTCAGCAATTAGTGCTTACAGCGGGTAGCTTACAGTTCTGGTAACTGCAGCGTTAGTCATAATGAGAAACGGCTTTGCTACCTGTCACTGCTTCATCCCAGGTAATAATTCTATTCCACCCCACGAAATTACACTCTTAAATTCTGCTTATGTAACTGCTATCGATTTCACTGGGTTTGTACAAGCAGAGTAGAGTAACAGCAGAATTTAGTTCCAGAGTTTTAAATGGATCCAGTCAAGGAGGTTTACTTTAACTTAGGGTTTTCACAGAGTGAAAGCAAAACATCCAAGTAAAATCTAGGGAAGACATATGTGCATTTTAATTTGAAATGCTAAAACTCTTACACCAGAACAGGTTTTATTTTAAGCTGCTACAATGAAGAGAAATAAATACCTATTTAAAGGAGAGGATGGTTGCTTATGAATATTTACTTAACTTTCAAGATCTAAACCAAAAATTTACCTTGACCCAAAGTTTTTGGCTGAGGTTCTGTATTGGCAGCACAACAATCTCATCCCAGACAGGGTTCAGGTTCTTGTAGATGACTTTGCTTTTGTAGAGAGTTTTCCCATTTAATTTAAACTTCACATACGGGTCACTTGTACCTATGATAAATAATAAGAACCAATAGATTAGACCACTTCCAATTTAACCCTGTAAAAACTTAAAATATATTTTAATAACAGCCATAAGTATAATGAATCATACATTTATACATGTATTCTATTTATATAATAAAAATGAGTATAAGCCATTCCTAGTTCATACAGAAAATCTATTAAAACACCACTAGAWATTTGACCGATAACAGGCAACACATTTTTTACAGTTTGCTTCATCTCTGCTAATGTTCTTTTCAAAGAATGCTAATTATTCTTTTCTTGGTTAATATTTTAATTTGAGAAAAGAGCAAACAAAGAGAACCAAGGACGGATGCAGTTACAGGCTAACTAACAAAACAGACAGTGAAACAGTGACACTGTTATCCTGTGCCTACGAAAATATGAAGGACCAAAATTAAAATACATCATAACYTTTGATGAGAACCCCAAGGAATAATAGCTAAAATTCCATCCAGGATTTCATTGTCAATGTCATCTACCAATTTACTTAAGTCCAAATGAGAAGTTTTACTGCAAAGGTGCTGAAATTATAGGCCAGCTGAAGATAAAAATCACACACACAAGAAACTCTCTACAGATATTAAACAGAATTCAGGTATCACAATTTTAATCTAAGTAATAATGTCCCGTGTTTTATGGGGCAGATGTCCAGAGACAGAATGTGAGGAGCCACAGCAAGATTTGCAGCTGTCAGAGGAAAACAAAGACAGAAGCAACTTTTTATTGCTGTTATTAAACCTACAGCATCTGCCCTAAAACCATTCAACATACAGGAGAGTAAGAAAAAGAGGGAACGAACAACACAAAGGATTTAACTAGATGGTTTATTTAGTTTAAATATATATATAGAATAACACATATACACAGACTTTGCAAATATTTCCCAGAGACCACAAAATAAAGTTGAGTTGCAGCAGGATACTCAAAAATCCAATTAACCGGATCCCATCAGCCATTCCTCATTGTCATTTCTGATAGTGCACTACACCTTACACGTGGAATTAAGCTTCCCCATTAAAACCACAAGAGCTAATCAAATGGACTTATTCAGCACAGACACTTCAAATAAAGGCACCAGTGCAAGCACTACATTTCATGTTCTTGACCACTCATTTAGCTGGCCACAAAGCCCGTAGCGCAGGGCTGCAGGCGCAAGACACCTCCTCTACGGGACTTCACACAGCCAGAAATAATCTGGATCTGTCCTCTCTGGTTCCCTGCTTTCTGGCAGGCAAAATAGCAGCAGCTCAGGGTAACCTGGTGTGACACCGAGACTCACATTTTTCGCTAATTTGGTAAAATGGTGAGAACGGGAAAACGCCACTTGCAAAGATCTGACACTGTGATCACTGGTTYGTAAGCACAAATGTAATTTTGTTGAATATACGCAAAAGGAATAGCCCCCTTTTAACATCTATTTGAAACTACGCGTTATTGAGAGGAATTGTAAAAGTTTTATTAAGTATTTATTGTGTTTTAGGTTCAAAAAGGGTAAATATAGGGCCCTGGGCAAAGAATGAAAATATGGATTAGTTTTCAAATACTACCTACAGCTATTATTTTTCCGAAATGGAAACTGAAAAAAACAAAGAAACAAAAAAACTGAGACAACACTGAAAAAAGGTTAAAAAGAATTTTCTTTCCTTAATCTCTAAAGCAGCAGCAATAAGGKCCTGATGCAAAGGCTACTGAATTCAGAGGGAAGATCTGCATGGTTTTTGGACTCAGTTTGCCCTAGCTCCAAAGATCCTAAAGATCTCCTTTAAATGGGAAAAGCAGAAATACCAAAAATAAAAACTAAAAAAAAAAAAAAAGTTGCTTTTACCTATAATATGAGCAAAAGCAGACTGCATTATTAAAAATTATAACAGCGATAGTAATAATAAAATCCACAAGTATTAAGTGCATGAAAGAGTAATCAGACTAGACAAGGGAAGTAACTGATATCTGAAAGAGCAAATAGGATATGCATGTGTATATGTGTGTGTGTGTGTGTGTGTGTATATATATATATTAAATAAATTAAAAACAGTGGAAAAAAACAACAGAATAATAAAGAAAGGCATATTTAATTAAATAAGAACGCCACTCTGGGATCAGGCCTTCATGCCTGTCAGGCTGCTCTGCAAATAAACATCTCGGAGGGCGGCCGCGGCGGTGTCACTTACGGCAGCTCGGCCCCGGCTCGGCCGCGCTGGCTTGACAGCGACATCGTGTTCACACAGTTTCACGGGTGAACGGCAGCACTCGCGTGAAAGAAAATATTAATGCCTGGAATTAATAGGAAAAAAAGAAAAAAAAAAAAAAAAAAAAAAAGGCGGGAGGTGGGGAGGCTGGAGATGATGGTTTGCACAGTCAAGCAAAGAAAGGTGTCAAGTTAGGACGGCGTTAATTGTTAGGGAAAGTACTTGTGAGGAGGCAGGAGTGTGGCGGGACAGTGGCCGGTGAGCTCTGCAGTGCAGGATGTGGGAGCCACAGGGATCATCCCCATGGAAGCAGAAATCCCGGCCAGGCCACAGTGCTGGCTCCAGCTGGGACAGTCCGCTGCAAAGGGATAACCTTCTCAAAWGAGTGGCCAGTAGTTATAGGCATGCTTTTAAGTATAAAAACACTTTTTTTTCCTGTTATTTTTTAAAAATTCTTCAAGCATAACAGGTGTCCAAAATTTTCTGAAAAACGCAGGCCATTAAAAACAAACACACAAACATCTCCTCTCTGGACATACCAGAGTGAAAGCAACCAAGTCAATAACCACTTCTAAACACCTATGCACCCACACGCTTCTAAAATCAAAGTTGAGGTCCTATTAATTTCCCTAGATGCCCCATCAGCTGTACCAYGTGTCAACAGGGTGAAGCAAAAGCATTCTTTTCTTGAAAGCAGGTTAGAATTCAGCCTGAAAGGATAAAATATAAAATATACACACACACACACACATATATATATACACGTGTGTGTGTATGTATGTGTGTGTGTATACATTTTGGAAAAAACAAGAATGTTTAAAGGTCAATTTAAATATTTTGCAGAGAAAGGAAGGTTCTCAGCCAGGAAAAAATACTTTTTTTTTAAATATATATATATACATATATATATTTTACACTCACACAGAGATATGATTATCTGCTTTTCAGACTAAAACAAAGTGAATAAGAAGAAATGGAAACTTATGAAAAATCATCCCATGATGGGGTGCTGTTGTCTCATTAGGGAGAACAAGGGCACATATCTCAACACTCGGTGTTCCTTCCTTGGATMCATTTCTCTAAGTATTTTACTGCTATCTCCATCCATTAGCTCTAAAAAGTGAGGGGCACGGGGAGACCAAGCATCAGGCAGCATGTGAGCCAAAGTTCCTGGTACAAAGCAAACAGACAGGGTTTAGCAGCCTGAAAAACTGTGATTTTGTGTTTTTAAACGGGTATTGCTGCCCTCTAGCAGCTGCATAGAGAGATACCACTTTGTATTGAATAATGCTACGTATTTGCTTCACACTTAGAAAATGAGCAGCAAACCTGATAGGATTTCAAACCACATTCCATCTCATAGGTGTAAACTTACTGGAAATAGAGCATATGAAATGCATCTGGTTACATTTAAAAGAAAAAAAAAAATCAGGACCTTACTACTTCATAAACCTGAAAACTCCCAGAAAAAACAGGGTGAAATATTACCTAGACAACCTTAAGTTTGGGTTAAATTCCTGGATTTGAATAGGAATAAAGGAAATTTAAGATTTATTTTACATATACATGAAGAATAAGTTTCAAATTAACCACTTCATAGAGCTAGAATTACAGCTATTTACAAGAGGGAGTAAAAGGCTATTTCTAATGGCAGAGATAGAAGATTAAGGAGAAAATCAGAAAGAAAAGTGTTCTAATAGCATGAAATGCAGGTAATTTTGGAAAGTTCTGCGCACAGCTAGTTTTATGCGAACAGATGGAAGTGAAACATTGCCTGGGAAGCGAGTGTCACCGATAGGCTCCTCAGGAAAATAAACCAAAAAACTCGACCAGGGAAGTGTGAAGAACACATGCAAGCCTACAGTTGAGCCAATGCTTTAAGAAAGGAAGTGTGAATTGACCRCTAACGAACCACAGAAGCAGGCACAGGACATTTCATGTGCAAACAGCACCCTTCACAACTGCGGTAAGCAACTAAAATAAACTAATGGAAAAGACAAGGAAAAAAAAATCCAAAAAAGTTATGAGATACAGGAGGGGCAATGACAGAAAGGACAGACTGCTTAAAAAAAAAAATTACACGTCCCTGGCAAAAGCTCAGATATGAAAGCACAGGGAAGGCACAAAACCATCTGCTTTCAAGGACCTCTGGTGTCTTATGGTATCTAACTCCCATCAACTTCAAATTTGCATCAGGATGAAAGGCACCTCTGGCGGGAAAAATCCTTCTGACAATATCACCTTGCTGCCTTATTTTTGGCTTACAAAGTCCACTTCCTCCAGGTTTCTGGGGGAGGAAGCAGGACACTGAAATATTTTTCCAAGGATGAAACACAATTCCTTGTGAGCATCATTCTCACCCTGTGAGCAGCTGCRTCTTCTTATATACTCAGTCTTTGGTTTTGCAAAATCTACTTGTGCAGGTCCAAGAAAGAGGGAAGCATGAACTGGTAATATAAAATCAGGGGCCAACTCCAGTGACTAGCAGAGCTCGGACAGTTGAAGAACCAACCACCTTATCTACATTTACCTACAAAAAAAAGAGAGCTAGTCTGTGGGCCCTATGTTTTCTCTTCCAGCACTGCCATCCTTATAATTCTTCATCTAACAATCACTTTACAAAAGCTACCTAGGCATTCTTTGATTAATTGCTATGGTTTAATTCAACCCAGTTTTGAAGGGGAACCTTTCTTGGTCCATTCAGACAGATTGGAAGGGAGGCTTGCAGGAACAACGGTGCAGAGGAGACACCGCTTCAGAGCTGCACACGCTCTCACAGAAACTGCATTTGGCAGAGACCAACAACTGCAGCCCACGCCGTGGCGTGCAGTGACACAGGATCCAGAAAACGTCAAAATAAGCCCCCAACACCATTCAAATCCTTTGCATTTGCAAATTAGTCATGATTGCGCCTTTCAAAAAGCAGTGAGAAGTTGTCTAATAAATCTGAATAATTAATAAATTTGAAGAATTAACGATCTAATTGCAGATACCCTGAAAACACAGAGAGCCTAAATTAATCAGGCAGCGCTAGCTTGTAGTGAACCATTCAGCCTAATTGCTCTGAGCATTTGCTTTACAAACAAGGGACTTATTCTGCACAAGCTGACAGATGCTTGACGCAGCGCCAGCATGTCCTCACCTCCAGTGCACCACGACATACCAAGACATACCATGACACCAATTATTATCGTCATATCACACAAGTAAGCAAAGACACCCACATGTTTGTTTCTGTGGGCCTATGCAGAACCAGACTCAAGCCACTCAGTGTCTGGTTCAGTACCTACAAAACTACAGATATTGGAGGATTTGTGCACTATGCAGCATTAGGTACTAAATGTAGACGCTTCTTGCATCTTGCATGATACTTGCACCTACATGATGCAAGTGCCTCCTGGCAAACACAACCTACTACCAGTTTAGACAGTGTCTAATGTATGACTAGCTGGTTTGGACCACATCCTAAAATCCAGTGAGAAGCCAATAAATCAGACTCTCTCCAAAGTCATTACCTTAATAATGACCCTAATAGGTAACCCTTATTCCAACCCAAGAGGTTACACTGGAACATCAACCCAGAAAGGGATCTTTTGGTACCTTTTCCCCGTTTTCTTCCCACACTGTTTGTGTAATTTACAGGACACAGCAACAGGGAGCGCACACAGCTGATCCAGACTCCTGTGCCTGTATCCTCCTCAGGACAGAGCAGGAACAAAGAGACAAGCTGGAGAGAGCTGAAGACTATGGAGAGACAACACATGGACATTAGATGATGCAAGAGGCAAAAGTGAAGAGCAGGAAAAAGCAGAGGTTAATGAGAGTGATATAATGGAGAGAGAAAATGAAATCTAATAAAGTGAAGTAGTAAGTTGAACCAAACTGAAAGGATCATATTAGGAAAGAATCGTATGTTGTGAATGAAAGGTTAGGAAAAATACCTGGAAAGTTTGGGAAAAGTCATGTCACATGGTAGTCTTACAGCCTGGGGTTAGCAGAATTACACCTCACCTGTACTTAGCCAAGTGTAATTAACTCCTGCTTAATACACATTAAGTGAATAACTAGTAAAACCAGGGAGAGCCCTGTCAATCTGGGGAGTAGAACCAGGAGCCTCCAGCAGCAGCTATTTCCAAAGGCAGAAACACTTGGTCTCTGTCACATACCTTAGGTTTAAATAAAAAGATACACACTTTTTATATTGAAACAAAAGACAGTAAAAGATAAGCCATTTTACAAATTCTGGTGCTGGTTTCTCCACATCTCAGACAAGTGTCCTAACTAGTGCCAAGGTAGGCAGGATCTCTCTGCCTAAGAGGTCTTATGATCCGAATACCTTGCTTTCCCCCTTTTCTCTTCTCCAAATTCAAGCAGATGGGATCAACCAACACCTAAGAACATTTTGCAGCAGCCAGTGCATCCCCACAGTTCATTCCCACACAGATCCACTGGCATTTCTCCTCTATATCACTTGGTCCATTCTTTCTTAATTTGCTGTATAGCTATGGTGAGGAGATAACAACAGGAAAGSTGAGGGATAAAGCCACAAAGTTAGCAGGGTGGATTAAACAACTTTGATGTCCTTGGAAAATATCACAAATAGAAATTTCCTTCCATCCAGTAATTTTTTTCAAAAGGTATCTTATTTCTTTAGAAGTTTCTATAGTGCTGAAATGCACAATGTATTACAGCTGCTACATCCCTCTTGGTCCAGATGTAGTCCAATTTATGGCAGAACATAAGAGGTGAAATAGTTAGTTTGTACAAGAATGGTTAGGGCCCACCCCACAGAGTCCTCCAGAAGTGCTCAGCCTGATTTCTCATTTTCAGTGCTATAGGACAGCATTAAAAATGGCCACAAGAGGGCATTAGGAACACGCCTTGTGATTTTTATCTGCCTTTCTACTCTTACATACGCTGCCAGTCCCCTCAACTTCAGCTGCCTATAAATTAAAATTAAGTGGAACAAGCTGTGTGTGTGAGAGGGCACCACATTTACATGCAATTTTCACTACACTTAGGAAGATGCAGAACTTCCCCAAAAACGTAACCTGACAGGTTTTAAAACATCTGTATGTTTGACGAGTACTTGGGAGGCTTTTTAAAGAAATTGCTGGTACCACAATTACTAAATATTAAAACTTAAGAAAAGTTTAAAATCTTAMTGTAACAAACAGGATGCAAGCCAAGGACGTTGGCATACAGCCTTCAGCMAAGCTCTGTGGTTTTCCTCTCATTTGGCACTTAATTTATAATATACCCACGGAGATAAGGAGTTAAAATTTCTACCGCTGACTAGACCAGCRGTTAGCGGTATGTACAGACTCAAATTTGAATAAAAATGATGCAGAAAGACTCCTACACACGAGCTCTACCGTGCCATGACTGGGGGACTACCAGAGCGTTTCTGCGGTTGTTCAGATGAGACTGGCTAGAGAAGATTCACAACTCTAAGAGATGCATGAAAAGCGTAACCTGCAACCTAGTGGCTACCCACTACGAGCTTTGGGACACTATGGCACAGAATATATGCTGTGAATTAAGGAAATGGGTTGAAACCCGCAGCTGGGCTGCAGATGGCCCTGCTCAGTTCCTGCTGGAGGCCTCCCCATCCCCAGCGGCGCCCGAGCGCGGGCTGGAGCTGGGCCCAGCTCGCGTGCTGCCGCACACAGACACGCTCAGGGCAGGCGTCCCGGCTCCGGCAGTGGCAAAAGCAGAAGCGGCGACGTCGCTCGCGTGCGACGGGGCCCTGCCGGCCCTGGGCCCATCACCCGTGGCCACAGGCACGAGAGCAGGGCCAGCTGCCAGCGCCTCAGCATGGCACCTCCTCTAGGGCAGCCAGCGGCCTCATCCCCCGGCCTACGAGCCTCCTCTGAGGTTTTCTCACGTTGCAGAAGACGAAGCTGAAAACTTCCTGCTCGTGAAGGCGCTTCACAAGAGCGCAGAGGCTGCGGCTTGGACCTCACCAAGTGTCTCAGACACTTAAGTAGTCAGTGGGGCTACACACATCCTTYAGGATGTGAATCTGAGCACGCGGGCAGGCTCTTCTTGGCGGAGCACCACAGCAGCATGACAGTGACTGCAGAATAGTGACTGCTCCTTTTGCTCTACTGTGTGCAAAAGAAAAGGCAGAAATTCGGCTAATGCACCACTTCACACAGTCTGTTTTCCAAATGAGCAGTCATTTGCCACACAAAGTGACGGAGACCTGTCAAAATGCTTTTTTTCCCCTTGATTAGTTTGCTACCGCTTGGCATCACACCACACTGCAGTGCACCAGGCTTAAGGCAAGCACCTGCTTTCTAATGGAGAAGAGCACAGCTTGGAACAAGCTACATATTCTCTCTTCCTGAGAAATACAACTCTGCTGGAATTGCTCATTTTAGCATCTTTTCCAAAGAAGCGGCAGGATGTGTCCTGGCTTGTGCAGCTCGCTAGTAAAACCGACAAACTGCCTCACTGTCAGGAAGCTTCTGTTCAAGGAGTGAAGATCTTAATCTAAGTATTGATTCACTCCTTCCAGAAGCTGGAAGCTCCAAGGAAAAAGTAATGTAGGCTCAGCCAAGAGCTTCTGCTTGCTGAAGACATGACAATAAGAACARTATGGAAAAATTAACTGAGATAATAGGGCAATTCCCATCAGCAAATACGTAGCCAGGGTGAGAAGGGTCGTCAATCCATCCCAGTCCCTTTGCATAACTACCTTTATGGGCCTCCAGGCCACTCAATCTCATTTTCATTAAATCTGTATTATTCATACAGGCTTATTGCTTCATCTCCAAAGACAAAACTGCTCATATACAGCTGCAATGTAAAAGTATCTAGAAACTTTGCCAYGTGCAGAAAGGAATATAAATCAGGCTAATGTTAGATATCAGGTAGAACTACGAGAAAGGTGTAGATGGAGAATCTTAAAGCAATTGCTGCTGTCACAGCTATAGCAAGTGTCTTTGGGACAGACTGAAGGGCAGTCAGACCAACAGCAGGCACTTTCCCACAGACCTTATCGCTCCAAAACCAATTCTGTCAGGCTTAGGCTCTCCCTGCAGACAGCACCACGGGACAGCACCCAACACATCCTTCACCTCTAGAAGAAATGGCTTGGTGGGAGGACTAAAATTCCAATTTTCGAAGGAATTCCCCCAATCTTTACTTAGTTTAATGCATCATTTGTTAGTTCTTTAATTGCATTCTCTCTGAACTATCTTCCAGGTTGAGACAGCAGTGCTGGCCACCTTTTGCCAGTACAGTAACCCCCAAACTCTCAGCAGTTGCTCCATTTAACCAGTTTCTAAACATTCTTTGGCTTTTCTCTCCGCTAAACTAGAATTAAGACATATACACCATGTGGCAGTTCCCTCTCCGGTGCCGCTGGATAAATCCCATCATCAAACACTCCGACCTGCAAGCTGGCAGATAGGCCCAAGTCCTAAAGATGCACCAGAAGTTGTTGGTGGCGCAAGCTGCTGCCGAACTGCTGCACGTGAAAGCAAAATGGTGAATTTTAAAATAAATATGCAAGGTGTTTTCTCACCGCAGCGGTCCCTGATAACCAGGTTCCGGCCTTCTTTCAGGTGGATGGTCAGCAGGTAAGCAAAAGTGCTGGGCARGTTACACAAACAGTCATTTCCTTCCTCGAGAGCCTAGGGTGGACAAAGAAATCRGTCACCGGTTTCTTTCTCTTCAAGCAGAGCCACTAAAACAGGGGTAGGTGCTTTGGCAGTGCAAAATACCCTTTTAAACTGAACCAAAACTGAAATTTAGTGGGTCATTTTTTAAACCTCATTTCTGCGTTTGTACTCTTTATTTTAATCACATTTATTCCTGAGCCACTCAGTATTTATGCTGATGTCTTCATCAGCTACCCATGCAACACCCAAATTATAGAACACCTTGAAAAAAATGCAAAATACATCAGTCCATTTAAAGCAATAGCAACTGCCTTGTTCTACTGCAAAAACATCCCAGAACTACYTCACTGGTAAAATTTATAGAAAGCTGTTTCACTTGCTAGGTTTTTATGCTAGTAAGCAAAAGACATGCAAGAAAAGACCCCAGACCTAAAAATAAGTGTGCTTCCCAAAAAGATTTCAATCAAGTTTCAAAATACCTTAGAATAAAAGGACTTACCATTTGATCATCAAAAATTTGAGATGACRTGGAAGAGTCTAGATGTATTTCTCCACACGGGTACTATTAAAAAGAAAACAAAGCACGCATTGAACAACAGCAATACTGGAATTTCTCAGTCAGGTAAATATTCATAACTGGTAACATGCAATTGCTTTTGGGTAGGAACAGAAACATTGGTTAAAAATAGTAATAATACTTCTGCTTATAGAAACTTCCTCTCCTGGAATTTAGCTAGAAATGTCTTTTTCCTGTTTTAAAGTGACTGTACTTACTCTCTTGAGTCTGATCTACCAAATAAGCATCTGCTCCCAGGCACCAGCATTAACTCCTTTCAATCAAGGAGCCCTGCACTTTCAGGGCCCAAAGTTCCTCTCCTGATGCCCGAGAGACACCGGTGTTGATGGATTACCCATCTTTACTGCAATGCCCACGTTCTTGGGCAGAATTTTATTTGAAGATCTGCAAGTTCCCTCACTAAGTTTCATTTCATAATGCAACGTTCAGGTTTAGCAGCACTATGTTCACATCAGACAGCAGGAAGGCCTCTCACCTAGCCCCGTTTTCTCCAGCACCCACAAGGCAGGTTTCAAGAGAAATCTTTGCCAAATTCTGATGTGACTTTCGCTTTTGATTTCTCTTAACCTTTGGTGGCAAGGGGAGATTTCACACTAATATTTTCAAGTATGTTATGTCCCACTAAGTCAGCTATTTGCTTTAGTATGATGTATACAACTTCATAACATATAATAAACTCATAAAGGGGTAAGTCATTGTAATCATTGTAATATCATTGTAATCCTCAACATCATAGAAGAGAGGTCAAAAATTTCTTTCTAAATCCTGACTTTTCCAATATCCCAAGGTTATAGGGGCACTGAGTCTAGAATGCCTGGACACAAATGGAAGAGATTCATCGCTCAGGACACTTTTGATGTTATTCGGATTGCCTGGTCAGTTCCGTGATCATCATTTTGCTGAGGAGCAACTACGTTCATGGGAAAATCTTTTCATCTAATGCAGGGCATAATTATACGCCATTCAAGTATAAAGATTTATGCTGAGAATAACCAACTCACTCTTCAGAAATGCACCCAAGATGGAATTTGATCTCCATGTGAAAATGTTGCGATATGCAATGTGGTTACATCCAAAGGCCTTAAAATCAGAGCTGCATTGTGTTGAGCACAATACAAATACAAAAGGACAAAGTCCTATACCAGAGATCTTAAATCCTGCAGATACCAAAGTGCTGAAATAAATATTCATAATCTTTTGTGCAATCATTGTTCTCCTACTCCCCTACAATACATATATATATATATATATGTGTGTGTGTGTGTGTGTGTGTGTGTACATATTGCATTTCAGGTAGTAACTCAGCATTGCAAGTAAAATTTGCAAGGCAAAATTTAACGTTACGGTTCCCACAGCAGTTGTAACTCCGACACCTTGCAAAAACACAGTAAAAGCAGAAGAAATTATCATACGGAGCAACAGAAGAAATTCCTCACACAATAAGGTTGAGTTACAGCTGCTGGGGGAACCCTAACTTTGAATTTCCTGACTAGTATGCATAAAATAGTACTTGCATGCATTAAACAGTATTTTTAGTAGTCTCTAGCTTCAGAAGAATCTCCTTCAGGCACAATTATTGGCATTGATAATAACTTCCCTTTACAGCTTCTTTTACATTGCAAAAACACCAAATCAAAGAACTCTATTGAAGAACACAGTCATAATTGAAAAAGTATTCTCGCTCCTACCTTTATATCATTTATCATAAAAAATCCTACCCTCAAAGTTATCTTTATTCTTTTTTTAATGTGCATAATATACATAGAGTTTGAACAAAGACTTTTATTATTTAAAAGTTTGGGTTTTTTTTTCACTAAATTGCAATTATTCTAGGTAGCTAATTGCAGTGAGMCTACTGAACAGAAATAGAAGTCTAGCTGAAAACATGGTCCTGCTCTTTTGGTGCTGCCTAACTACACTGACGTTTCTGAAGCCAAATACAAGGAAATGGAGCCACGTACACAGTGTTGCTGTATGTGATTTTGGGACATGATCCTTTCAAAAGCAATCAAATGGTGAAATATTTTCACCATATCTGGCTATGTTTTGGAATCCAAATTTATTTCTGCAAAAGCAGCTCACTTGAGTAACTCGGCAAAACTCAAGGCAGAGCTCACTGCACTCAAATTATTTAAAAACCAAGGACTTGGTAAGAAACTAAAATAAGACAGAGTGAAGTTCACCATAAAAATGACCTAATGCTAAAATAAAAAAACTGAGGATGAAGAGAGGGGCCAAGTCCCACACAAAGAATACTTCCATAAAAGTATTCTTTTTTCATTATTCATTATTCGTACCCCTGGTAATTCTCTGAAATTCCTCCACTAAATAGGATGCAACACACTACATTTTTTTCTCAAATATCCTAACTACAGAAAGATGCTAAAGGCCATGAGGCATAAGCTGCCCTCCAGCACTTAGCACTCTGCCCCAGGTGCCAAAGACTCCACCCACTGCTCTACAAAAGAAAAGTATATAAATGTACAAATATTTACACATGCATGTAGATAGGCACAGAAATACGTTTTAGGTATAAAAACAGATATTACATATGATTTTTATATACCTRTAAGTATGTATTTATATTATTTTTGTATTTTTAAAGCCTATTTTAAATCAAATATTCTTGATAGGGTTTCCACTGATTTTTTGGTGAAGGAATGATAAAAAGAAAAAACACCCAAAGCCACTGAGTGCATCAGAACGGGAATGAAACTTTACTTTGCTAGTGACTCACAGCACCTTGTATCCAAAACAGTGAATGAATAGCATTAATGCAATTTCAGGATAAATAACCACACCTCAGAAGCAACTGCAAAAAAATGGCATGAACAGAGTCCTTTGCAATAAGCCTAAGCAAATGGGCCAAGGAGTAAAAGACAACCTCTGAAATGAAAGTTATTTCTCCGCCTCTCAAGGTTGTCCAGCTCAGTTGCAACAGAGATTAAAATTTAAAAAAATAAAATAAAATAAAATAAAAATAAAATAAAATAAAATAAAAATAAAATAAAATAAAAATAAAATAAAATAAAATAATATAAAATAAAATAATATAAAATAAAATAATATAAAATAAAATAAAATAAAATAAAATAAAATAAAATAAAATAAAATAAAATAAAATAAAATAAAATAAAATAAAATAAAATAAAATAAAATAATAGAAGTAAATTTCTTAGGAAATGAAAACGAAAAGAGGCCCTGTGCTGGTGCTTCAGCACCAGAACCACAGCCCCACATTGAGCTCAGGTACGTGGCTTGGAAAGCATCTCGGATATCAGGCGACCCATGCAAACCAGGAAATGCGTAGGCGGCACATGACAAGACATTCAGAGGGGGGGAAAAAACCCTCAACCTACTTTTTTGGTTTGTTTTGTCCCAGGCGCTTGTCTTCCTGGTTAACCTCACTCTGATCAGCAAATGATGCTCACAGGAGAAAGTTGCAAGTATTTGTCATAGTCTCTTCAGTGAGCCTTTCCAGCAGTACTAGGAAACCAATAACCATTGCAATATCTATCCCCATCTGAGCCCCAGCTACCTCCTWTCCCCCTATGATGTGCCCCATCTGAGGCATATGAAGTACAAATTTTGTTCAATGATGTATAAGAAAAACAAACACTGAGGTTTTCACTGGATTGAACATAGAAACAGTTAAGAAATATATTTTCACAATAATATGCTCCACTCTGATTTTTATTGTTTAGAAAATTCTCTGCCACACTTAGAAGTGGCAATTGGAGGCATATTACCAGAAGGAAGGTACTGACAGCAAGATGAGTTGGTATGAAAGGAAATATTAAATGACATATATTYACAAACCCACACACAAATACTCACTTAAATAAGAATAAATGCTGCAGAAATGAGCCAGGCTCCATATTTTTATGAGCCAGACACTTTTTTTCTCAGAGTTAAGCTCCAAGAAACCATACAGGCTCTATCTTCTGTTAAAGCACTTAATTTACTCAATGTCAAAGGGTGAAAATCTGAGTTAATTTGGGTTCAATTTTGGTACATGGTAGGTACAACTGCTGATCTACAACAGAAGTAGTGAATCAACAGAATTAAAACCATTTAGAAGCAAATGCCTAAAACGCTGACATRCTCACTGTTTCCAAACTACTATACATGGATTAATTTGAGTTGCYACAACTTCTGAGTAAAATTACAACAGAAAAATTACATGAAACATTTATGCTATTTTAGCTTTTTTTTTATGTAGCTATCTGAATAATCATACGTTCTAACTAGTGAAAGCTGATATCTTTGGGCCATGTGAAGATGGCTTCAAAGCAAATATAAAAATATGTTACTTAAAAAAACTCAACAGAAAAGGATATATTTCCACAAAAAAAAAAAAAAAAAAAAAAAAAAGACTGCATCTTCCCTAAAATGCTTAAAAGCAGCTACAATTGTCACCTTCTGTCTATATTATAAAGCCACTGTGCAGCTCTCAAATGAAGCATGTTGGACTTGGACTCTGCTGTCCCTGCAGCACTATATCCAGCTACAGAAACACCAACCAAAGAGGCAGGAGCAGAAGGAAGGAGAAGGTGACAAGGCAGGAGACGCAGAGGCAACATTTCAGTTTTGCATATGTTCCAATTGACCACAGCACAAGCCCACGGGACATTTCAGGGCATGACGCTACAAGTTCACTGAGCCCCATCACACCACCTCATTCACCCTATCTTTCACCTCATGTCTTCAGCTTCATGCTGAGGGGGTGGAGGGTAAGATGATTTTGCTGTGACAATCCCGGTAAGATTTCTTAACCTACAGCAAATACATCAGACAGCTCTGTACTACACAGCTCATAGAGCAGCAGCTCCATGTGACTTGAGGAGTTTCAACAACACTTGAAAAATCAGAGGCATCRTCACCTTGACTAAGCAAGAAACACGAGCGTGGATTATAAAGACACATTTTGTAGTTGCAGATTGACAGAAAGGTCAAGAGTAGGCTCCAAGAATGTCCATGCCATATCCTGTTTATGTTCTTTTTTTCTCCTTATTCATTCCTTGAGCAGGAAGGTCCCCTCCATCCCTGCATAACCTAGTCCAAGGAGCGCAACCAGCCCGTGATGGCAACTCAGGGCTTGGCCAGCACGAAAGCCACCTACCTCGGCCACCTCCTCGCTCAGGTCGCTGCTCAGGCGGGCTCTCTGCAGCAGCTCCAAGAGGTCACTGCTGGATTCCCGCATGGCCTCGGAGCCACACGCAACTCGTGCTTCCCTCGGAGGGGAATCTCCAGTCTCCACGCACACCGACTCCTGCCGCTTCCACTGCCAGTCGTCCCCTGGCCGCCGCAGGGACGCACTGCCACCTTTCAGAGACACGACGGGGCTGGGCAGGTCACTGGCAGGGTACGCAGACAGCACCTGAGCGCTCGAGCAGGTCACCTCCTCCTCCGCGAGYGTCTCGACCTCCAGCATGTCCGGCACGGACACACTGAGGCGCCGGTCCAAGCAGTGCCTCTGTTTCCGCTCCACCATTTTGGTGGACCTTCTCCTGGTCCTCTTCACRCTCAAGTTTTGTAGGAAAGGCCTGGTTTTCTGCTTCAGAGACCCCCAAACGGACGGTTTATCCAAGTCCATTGCTGCACCAGGAATCCTCGCAATGATTCTTGTCTTAAACGGCTTCAGTGATTCCCAGGGTGACTAAAAGCAACGTAGGAAGAATAAAAGTCARTCACTGAAGTGAAGAGCAGCTGAAAATCATGACTCATTATCTCAGCTTGAAACTTTCAGTTGACTTTCTAAACAGCAAARGCAAAGCAGGCTGCATTAGTAAGAGCTTCCAAACACAAACCGGTGGGTGGGTTTGATTATCTGGGAGAACAGCAGTCAGAGCAAGTATTTAATCTTGTACTAAAATGCAATGTCTATTTACGACTTTATGATAGCAAAGAGGGGAAAAATTACATATATATTTTTTTTCCTTTGTCATGCACTGAATTGCAAAAAAAAAAAAAAATGCAATTTATCTGATTTGAAACTGCTTCCTCATAAAACTTTCACTGAGAATTAACTCAGGTACTGCCAGCATTGTACTTGCAAAGCTAGCACATGACAGCTGAAAGAAAACGCTGCCAAAAAAAAATTAGGTATCTCTAAAAATGTTAAATAAGGCAAACATGGGTACCACTTGAGACACGAAGATACATTTTTGTAAATTTATTAACAAATTTTAATTGTACATAGATTTAAAAAAAATACTTTAGCTTCATGCATACACCACTAGTGAGAAAGTGAATAGCAAATACTCAGTTTTATCAAAATCGTAGATTTTAATTTATTCCTACATGTTTTTGTTGTTGTTTTTTCCTCATAAGGAAGGCAAGCTAAAGAAAGGACAAAAACAAAGTAAAATGAGGACAAAAATGAACAAAGGACAAATCACTTACAGATTTTGAAAACCTGCTAGTAGACTCTTGTCTCCGGCCGATTCCTAATGAGCATTAACACCCTAGTGAGGAACAASAGAAGGACTAAAATAAAATCACCTACTGTATCTGCATGGTATGAGAAGGGTCAAACAGATGGTCCTGTTGACAGGAGGAGCCTCACAGCATCTTCCACAGCCACCAGCTGAGCAACCATCATTACTGTGTGAAGCAAAGGGAGTCAAATGCCTTAGGGAAAAAAAAAAAAAAAAAAAAAAAAGAAAAGAAATGCAGAATTTACTCCTCCACAAGTTCGAAGATGTTTGCACAGAGATGTCTGCACAGCAGCTTGCAGTATATACAATCTTTGGAAACATATATAGGCTTCAACTGCATGATTACTACTTCCTAAACGCATAGTCCATTTATATTCTACCAGTTCTACCACTGATTAAAAATGACTTATCCCAGCATTAACTTAATAGGGTAAACAGAACACAAAACAGGAAAAAAACGGGTCAAATAAACTCAAAGAGAGAAAACAAAGTCTGCACACAAACACATCTACTCATGTTTTCATCTACTCACAAATTTGAATGAGGTTTAAGCTACTTGTAAGGGCAGTTACTTACATATTTTAATAACTTTATGACTCTCCCTACGATAAGTTACAGACRCTTGAGGCATACACAAAAAAAATAGTTTTATCTACATTACTATATATTGCTAAAGATGCACAATTCTCCCCTGTAGTCATAATTGTATAGGTACATAAACGCTTAGTATCAGCATAGTTATAYCCTATACAAACAACATGCTATAATGGCTCTATGCACATTCACATACACATACTAGTTCACTATTCACATACTAGTAACTAATATATGCTTGTCTAGCTCTTACCAGCTAAATGCAGCATTTGTACCTKGAGTTCCAGGAGGTAGACACAGAATCAAAATACACCTGGACCAACTGCAGTTAATTTTTCCTCAGAGCCTCATTCAGAAGAAAGTTTTCTGCACCTCACAGCTGAACTGAAGCACAGAGGTAGACGAGGGAGCTCCCTTTTCCTATTTACTTCAGGGTGAGGCTACCAGCCTGAGTTTCCAGGAGAAGATCAAGAAGCAAACGTACATCCTCATATCTGTCCRTGGATGGAGGACTCCAGCGCTAAAGCGGCATGTAAAGCCCAGCGTAGGCTCGGAGACTTTGCTTTCTAAAGCCAWTGGCTTTCACTCTTTCCTCTTTAAATAAAACGTTGATGAGGAAGCTGCAGGCTTTCTTAGTACTGTTACATAACATGCTAATAACAGAAATTTTTGTAGTACACGTTTGCACTGTTGGGACACATTTAATAACTACTCATCTCCTGCCAAGACCGTCTGCCTCACTCGCCTGCATGCTCAGAAACACGCTAAAGTCAAGGCATAAATACAGCAGGACCTGCCTCTATCCATGTCCCAAGGCTCTTAGATTTCCTGCTCTTTTCCTGTTATTCTCTGCCCCTTTCATTTTGACAGCCTGTCTCCACCTTTTTTTAGTTTGTTTGCTTTTAAGTTTTTTGTCACATAGCAGCAGGGTAAATCCTGTAACTTTTTCCCCATTTAATTCTCCCACTGACGTTTTTCATACTGGAAATGCATAATCAGCAGGGATRCTACAGGAACCTGCAACTCCGAGGCCTGCTGCGCAATACAGCCAGACTTTCCCCCAAGCCAGACTGAATCACAGCAGAGAAAATAAATATTTAAATAATAATTAAAAAACAGGTAGCAAATGTCTGGGTATTGTTCAAGGCAGCAAAAATGGCTCCAACCACCTGTTGTCTTCCACCTATGGACCTATAGACCTGCACCTCCTCCTGCAATTATAACTTTCATTCTCYAAATAGGGCATTGCTAGGATGACACATTGTCATTGCATATAAAGACAAATTGTCTTTCTTCGCTCTTTCTCTGCATATGCAGGTCTATAATGCACACTGAAATATCCTCCCCGAAATGTCCCCTGCTCAGGCTTTTAAAAAGTGCCCTCAAAGGCTGTAAACAACAAAAATGTGAATGTAAGAACATAGTTATTACAACTTTCATAAATATGGCAATGTATGTCCAGCGGGTCTGCCACCTCTATAATACAGGGTCAAGTCAGTAGGTTCTCAGCTGTAACTAAATATCCGATATTTAAACCAACTATATGTGTGTGGCGATTATTTCTATAAGAGATATCAAGGTCCCCACGACCACATTTAGAACTTCAAATACAAATCATTTACTAACAGACAAACCTTTCTAAGTAGAAAAATCTTATTCCTTCCTTGCAAAAACTTATTTCACAAACTTATCTGGAAATACAATATCTTTATGATAAGCATTACCAACCCCAGAAATAAGGAAATATCCATGCACCCGAACAAAGCAATCCTTTGTTCAGAGTTCCCAGTTTATCTTTGAGTGTTCCAAACCCAGTGCCAATTACATTCATATATGTCATTTAAAAGAAACTCACACTTCACCGGGGGCAGAATCTCCCTTTGGTTATTAGTAACTTCAGGTGTACAGGAAAAAAAAAATAAAAATAAAAGCCCAAAATGAAATGCTGACATAGGTGCGCCTGCAGCCATACATCTTTGTCCAGGCTTGACAGGGTCACTGAATCAGAGACCAATATCACAAAGCTGAAAAGGTGACAAACTTTTCTTCCTGCAACTGTACCCCAGCAGAGGGTAAAGACCTGCACTTAAATTCGCTTGGGCACCAGAAAAAAAAAAATAAAAGAGAGTCTGTTCTCAGTCAGATTCTGCATGGGCTAATTACCCTGGGGAAATCAGTGCTAGAATTATATTTAGTACTAACAAGCACTGCTGAAGTGTAGCTAACATCTTAACTGCATAGGTGACTGGCTTCAAAGGAGGGTCATTTCTACAGCAGCTTCCAAACCCTGCAATTATATTTAAACTCATACTTCCCTTCCAGGTCTCCAAATGTTGTGAGATTTTTTTAAAGACTCCACAACTGCACTGTTACAGATTCATCTGCAAATCATACTGGGATGCTTCRCATTGAAAAAAAAGTCTTATATTGAATCCGGAAACAACACAGCCCTTTGCTTCGAGTTGGCCTGATGCGGTCAACCCAAATTAGTGCCACTTCTTCATAAAAGGTAATTTCTGTATGCTTCAATGCTTGAATGGAAATAAAATCACCAAATCATCCTTATTTTACTGATATGATCTAGAAGTAATCTATAATCTTTGCAAGTCATAAATAATGCCATGATCAAGCGTAACAAAAACATTTATTTGATGAAGTTGATATCTGCAACTTCATAGCGATTTTCAATATTTTTCTTTGAACCTAAATCTGCCACAGTTCCCGTGCTTTTAGACTACAGGCTTTTGCACCCCTTGGATTATTGCTTTTGAGTCAATAAAACTCAAATTTTGCAAGCTTCATCTTTAACAAATGCATAAAGTGAGAACGCATCTTCTTCCACTTTTAACGCAGAAAGAAACAAGGACATCCTAACTCCTTGGAGACTCTTTTGCACAACCTGGAGAGCTTTTTTCTCAACAGTTATGAGCAGACAGTAACTATGAGAAGTAACAAAACAACCAGCTGCAACAARCAGCTTAAAATAGCATCTGATAGTGAAAGTTACTGAAAAAAAACCCTGCACCTGCCTCCAACTTCTAAAAGTATTGCTTTCATTTTTTTTTCTTTGCAGTGTACTGTAAATCAGAAGAAAAAAATGATGAGTGTGTAGTGGTGAGGTGAAGGAGGAAGTGTTTGGGTTCATTTTCATAAAATTATTTCAAAAGTTCCTTCCCTTCTTTCTGCTTCCGTCTAAATAGCGTAGCTGACAATAGTGCCTGTGCGGGCCAGGCAGTCTCCTTCATTCTCAGCCTCATTGATGGAACTGCTTCAAGGTGCACACTAGTATCATCTGAACAAAACAGTCACAGCTGTCAGGCTTTAAAACGCTCCAGGGACACGGATGGAGAAGATCTGCAGGATGCAGATCACGCCTGCTGCACCAGAGAAGCTCCCCTTGGATGATAGTGTTTCATGTGCCGAGATGAAGGAGGAAACATCTTTACTGTTGACTATACCTCTTTCCTAGTTGGTCTTCACTGCTCCAAACCACATGTTGAACCTCAGTAAGGTTGGTCCCTAGAGCAGTGCCCCTCCATGCAGGAGAGGAGAAAAGCTGATGAGCAACAAGGTTATGTGGAAAGGTAGCAGGTACCAGCAAAACTAGGAGAAAAAAGGG